CCCCCAGTCATCTGTGGAAGCATGGTAGGGGAAGCCTTTCATCAGGGACTTTGAAATGCCAATGTGCAGACAGGCCCGATACTGGCCTGGAACAGCCTGAATACCGGCCAGGCATTATACCGGGTGGGCTACCGGGGGGGCCCTTTTCCAACCGGGTCTAAATGGTCGCCGTCCCTTAGCAAGGAGCCAGAGGAGAATTTGTGCCCTGAAAATGTGGGAAAACGATGCACAAATTCACTGTGAGAAATCCACTGTCTATGGATGACTGTAAAGCATGGTTCTCAGATTACCGGTCAAAGGAGGGCGCTATTAAGAAATACAGTGGAAGCAATGTAAACATAACCAGTATGTGTATCTCCTTTGCAAAATGGTAAATACAATCTGATTCAGGCATCACATCCCTGATGTTTTGTTTTGCTTGTAGCTGATGCAATTTGTAATGCAGCTGGGCTTGGCTTTGCTGGCTATGATGAGAATGGCAGACCAGATTGGTCAGGAGTTCAAAATGTTGATGTCATCGGATTCCAGGTAACTCAGCACAATTAGTTACGGTTAAAAGGCCATTTTTAGAGTTTAGAAACAATACAAATAAAGTTGTTTTGTTTGAACAATCAAAACATAAGATATATTTTCTTTAATTACACCAAAATTCCAAATGTGAGGTCAAACTGTTGCTTTTGTGGAACTGATATCACTAGAATGAAGGTTTACAATTAGTATGACAGTCGAAGTTTTCTCTCTGAACAATTTTTAGTGTGTTAGCTTTTTTTACATATTGTTTTGGACGGACACAGATAGCGGTATCTGTACATCCATGTAGTCCTCTATGACAAATGTTAAAAATTAGTGTGTGTATTCTTTTGGAATGGACGGGCAGAATGGTCAGCAACATTGCATTCCATGGGACCGGTGGCAGAATGGTCAGCAACATTGCATTCCATGGGACCAGTGGCAGAATGGTCAGCAACATTGCACTTCATTGGACCAATGGCAGAATGGTCAGGGTCATTGCATTCCATGGGACCGGTGGCAGAATGGTCAGCAACATTGCATTCCATGGGATCAATGGCAGAATGGTCAGCAACATTGCACTTCATTGGACCAATGGCAGAATGGTCAGCAACATTGCATTCCATGGGATCAATGGCAGAATGGTCAGCAACATTGCATTCCATGGGATCAATGGCAGAATGGTCAGCAACATTGCATTCCATGGGATCAATGGCAGAATGGTCAGCAACATTGCATTCCATGGGATCAATGGCAGAATGGTCAGCAACATTGCACTTCATTGGACCAATGCCAGAATGGTCAGGGTCATTGCATTCCATTGGACCAATGGTGGAATGGTCCGGATCATTGCATTCCTTTAGACCAATTGCAGAATGGTAAGGAACATTGTTTTCCTTTGGAACAGTTGTGGAATGGCCAGGAGCCTTGCATTCCATTACACCAATGGTGGAATTGTCATAAAAATTTTATTCCATTGGACCAATGGCAGAATGGTCAATAACATTGCATTCCTTTAGACTAGTGGTGAAATGGTCAGGAACATTGCATTCGACTGGACCAATTACAGATAGAATGGACAGGGAATGGTGAGGAACTTTGCATTCCATAGGACCAGTGGTGAAATGCTCAGGAGCATTGCATTGCAATGGACCAATGATGGAATGGTCAGGAACATTACATTCCATTGGATCAATGGCCATATGGTCAGGAACATCGCACTTCATTTTACGGATGGTGGAACGGTCACGAACATTGCATTCCATACTTCTAATAGTGGAATGGTCATAACATTGCATTCCATACAGTACATTCCAAAAGCTTCTCCTGACACTCGCGAGCAACGAGCATGTTTGAGCGAGGGAATTTCTGAATGAGTACGAGGGCCCTTGCAAAATAACAAGTGACTACACTTATTCTTCTCTTCGGAAGCTCCCAGCCGAAGCTTCCTACACTGCAGAGTGCATCGAAAAAATCTTGTTTGATGCATTTAACAGCAGGACCTTGAACGAGAACAAGGTTTTGAAGAGACCTATGTCAGAAGGAACAAACCATACATCATTTCTAAGTACATGTACTACTATACCACTGCTTAAAAGTTTGGAAATTGTTGGATCTTCAGAAAACAAAAGCGGTTTCAAAGACTTTATTTGTATGACTTGCCCAAAGGCAATTAATAAATTTCGCGAGGTCAGAGATCACTGTCACATGACGGGAAAGTACCGAGGCCCCGCACACGGCAGTTGTAATTCAAAGTTAAGAGTCGTCCCAGTAGTAGTCACTAAAAAACGGCTGTCGCACGAGGCGTTTAAAAGTTGCCTATTTGAATTGGTGCAACATTTTAATAAGCAGCAATCATTCAGATCTGAGAAGCATCAGATATTCACAGCAGTGATGTAGTCGAGTACTTTTTGAGAAC